AAAAGAGAACGGGCGGAACGTTTTCCGTCGCCGAGACAACAAGTCCCAGTGTCTTGGAGGCGGTCAAGTTGGCTATGCGCGAAATAGATACAAAAATTCCCTGGTAAAACCTATACATAACAACCGCGGGCGTGAGTGGGTAGGTGGACGGATAATCGGGTGAAAATGCAATTCTGTATCGCTGTTGCAACTCCCTGTCAGACGTTTGCGTCAGTCATGTGCTATGGAACATGCAGGACCCTTCGAAGGATTCATTCGCAGGGGCAGTTGTCCCCCGCGTAGATCTTGGTAGCTCTCCTTGCGGGCCATGCCATATTGCACATGCGCACATGGACGACAGGTCCAATCAAGCTGATAGATATCACAAACCTATCCAAAAGCGTGTTGGGCGCTATGACGGCTAAGGCGCACCTGCAGATCGCCCGCTTCTCTCGTCACTTGGTATTGGTAGAGCAGGGTGAGCGTGTAGCTGAGGACTGACGTCTTGTTGCATTCGCACGAGCAAAAGGGAATGGGACGTTAGGACCCCTCCTGCACCTACTCTGGATAGTGTCTTCATACCTCGAGGTAGAGATAGATTAGCTCTACCTCCTTATCTTGATAGTAGGTAGTAGGCCGAGGCCGCGTTGCATATGCCAGATGGAGGTGGAGGAATGGCGGTAACGTTGACCTTCAGCTTGCTAGAGGGGTCGCAAGGGGCCTTGCAAAGCGGCTGGCGGGCCATATATAGTGACACAAGAGGTTGCAGAAGAAGTTATCAGCTGATCCAGCACGAACCTAAACTGCGAATTGCGACGAAACCAAGCACGTCTATTGTGACCAGTCTGCCAGTTCGAAGCGGTAGGAAAGGAGGCGTATTAAAAACGTCAGAGCTCCCAGGCAAAACGATACCACAACTGCAAGCCGCAATCGTCGCCACACCGAGGGACCCTACTAAGGTACTCCAGCGAACAAGTCAGAAGCATCACATATTGTATAGTTAGTTCATAGGTATGTTCATATGTTCATATCCTACCTAGGTATGATTGTATGTATGGACCCTGGCGGAGCTAAGAGATGCTAGAAGCTGCAGGGTCGCCAAATGCGGGAATCAGACGAGACGGTTCGGGTATCTCACAAGATACGCTATAGAACGTGTAGAACGTGCAGATAGGCACAACTAGCCAGCTAGCAGAGCGTATAAGGTAAAGGTAAAAAAGTAGGAAGGTGGGAGGATGCAAGTGGCCTGCAAGGATCTGTCATGAGCGATCGACCGACCAACTCCACGGATAGCCCCGCACCGAACCCCAAAAGATCTTCAAGAGACGTTCTTTCTTCGACTATTTTAGGTATTCCAGTGCGGAATTCGTACACGACAGAAGGCGCTACCGCGATCAAGCCCGTACATTTCTCTTCGGACTTTCCGACCAAGTACGTACCTTCTATGCATAATTACCGGATTTTTAACGAAGATATAGAAGCTATAAAACTACTTGATATAGGTATGCCTGATATAACACGCACACACACATACCTACATATACACGATATGATTACTTATCTGAGATAGTGTTGTTAACCTTGACGATCGCATTTTTTAATAGGCGCGATATGTACATGCATATACCTGCTAGGTAATCAGTAACCGCACGTGAAGGTACCTAGTTAGTGATCAGAGTAGTGCGTTCTGGTTACCTAGGTAAACCAATAACACACCCGATAGTATATACGGAAGCAGATACCCAAGATTACCTAGGTTTATGGTGCTAAACCACTTCACATTAGGTACATGTTAAGTAATACACATGATAGGTGCAAGAGCAAATAGTTCAATTATACCTACCTACCTAGGTACCTAGGTATATTTCAGAATATACTTACTATGAAGTACCTATATGTACATGCATGAGGTAGATAAACAGTTCCAGCTAAAAAGTACCCAAGGTGCTGCTATTAATGTACGAGGTAAAGCAAGAAGTTCATACATGCAAGCAGCTTTCCATATGGAGGATAGATTATAAACTCGTCACCTTATTAGTGTAGGGCATGGCCTAGTACACAAGGTGCGCATTATGTAGGCCAATGTGGTCAATGTATTGTGTGGTTGTCATGTTGATTGACGTAAGGTTCCATCATTCAATGTCTGAAGTATGCATGCGTATGTACCCAGGTACTTTGTAACATTTAAACCTTTCTGTGTGCTTTGTCGGAAAGAATTCATTAAAAGGGGGACAAACTTACTTGGGGAAACCTTATTCGCCCGCACATTCGGGTTTGTTCCTGTCTGTCACACGTTATTGTAGATCGGGTACCTGGCAACTGACAATGGAACTGACAATGGAACTTACACCAACATCCTAAGCATCCACCTTGCACCTACCTACTATTTACAGCTTAGAAGTAATGGAAGCTGGAGACTTTTGTAAAGACCTACATATTTTTGGTGAGGGACAGGGTAACAATGCAACACGCTAGTTTATGTATACTTTATGTACGTTATGTACTCTAGATCACAAGGTACATGTACATAGGTATACTACTTCCATATAGGTAGGTATTGACGCCCTATTAAGGTACTTACTTGATGGGCCCTATTACGTGCTTCATCCATGAAACTCAGGCGCTCAAAAAAAATATTCGTCTTCGTCCTCCCCCGTTTTCACTATTTAAGGTTGACTACCTCCTCCCTCACCACCCCCGAGTTTTTCCTGCTTGACGTAGTCCATTCGAGTCAACTCTTATTTATTTGTGGTCTACCTGGATACTCTATACCCAGGTGAGTAAGGGTCGTCCCTTGAGCCCCTCCTATCCTTCTACCCACATCCTACATTACACTATAACTACTCTAATAACTACCTAACTACCTACCTCTACCACTATTCTTGAGCCTCTCAGGTACCCACGCCCACCTACTTGTCTCCGCAGTGATAAAAAAACGCTAAAACATTTCCATCGTAGTTTCGTCAACTCAACAGAGCAATTGACGAAAAAAGAAAGGAAAAGAAAAAAAAATTTCAAACACAATTTCTTTTCCAACCACAAATCCAACTATCACCATGGGCGTCACAAAGACCGTCATTAAGGAGGGCACTGGAACTCAGCCTTCTCCCGGCCAGACTGTTACTATCGAATACACTGGCTGGCTCAAGGACACCTCCAAGCCGAATAACAAAGGCACCCAGTGAGTACAGCAATGTGCCAATATTTCAATGCCCCGCTACCTGAGATGTTTGAATGCTGGCTTGGCATTGACGTCAAGGATAGCTGGAGGCTCATAACAGTTGACTGACCTATGGACCAGGTTTGACTCTTCGGTTGGCCGAGGTGATTTCGTCACGAAGATTGGCGTTGGCCAGGTAATCAAGGGTATGCTATCCTCTTCGACGTCCATTCATTTTGCATGTTTATACTGATGTTGTATCGCATATTAGGTTGGGATGAGGGTGTTCCCCAGATGAAAGTCGGCGAAAAAGCAACGCTCGATATCACCAGGTACGATATTACCCCCCTCCATCATAATTAGTAGTTAGCATTTATACTGACTTACATCACTATAGTGACTTCGGCTACGGAGCCAGGTAAGCTCCTCCCGTCCCTCCCTTGCTTTAATTTTCATATGCAAAATTGTCAATATCCACTTTACTCATTCCCCTCTTGGACCCCCAACAGCACAATTCTTGGGAGACCCGGGACTGACAAATCTCTTAGAGGCTTTACCGGCCACATCCCCCCCAATGCTGACTTAATCTTGTAAGTACCATCGTCAAAGCGGACATATTGTCCGAGATCATACCCGATACTAACCTCTGTCTTCCAGTGATGTTTATCTGAAGAAGGTCCAGTAAATTGTCGTTCGAGATGGTTCTCCATTATGGGAATGGACTTTTAGTTCATGCAATTCGGCAATGAGTACGGCATAGGATGGGAGGTTCTCGCTTCAGTTAGGTTTCCTTTTTTCTTGCTGCATGCAGCATGGGCTAGGGCGGCTTCTGTGTGAGAGGCTAGAATCAGACAATCGTTGACCACTGAAACCCTCTACTCGCTTGTGCTCTGTTTTCGTGATACCGTGCCGAATGTCTGGGACTCGCAGATGGATCAAAGTATCTTTGCTACCTCCTAGATGCAACTGTATCATATGATCATAAAGCCCTTCTAAAGTCATCCGTCTAAACCTCTACTAGCCCGAATCGAGGCCACCCGCAGAATCTTTGTTTTACAACAGATGGGAGGTTGCAATAAAAGTTCGAGTTTGTGACCAAACCTAGTGTGCTGTGCGGTCAAGATATGAATCGACACCCTTTCCTAGGGGCAGGAATTTGATATCTCTAGCAGTATCTAATGCGTCTCGCGCGAAGAGCCTGAAATATCCAAGATCTACAATATAAACGCGCGAGTCGTATGTCCAATCACCTGATGAACATATACAAGTTGACATCGCTTAGAGGTAGCTCACCGTAGAGTGAGGTCGCGCGGTCAGTTACACAATCTGAGACAGGTCTGTCGACAAATCTCTACCAAGGAGAATGCGATCGGCCGACGTTGGTGTCCGCCAATGTAACACGGTGGCCGCTTCCAGCCGCTTCTATCGCACGGAGAATAGATATAGGAAAGATTAGGCTCGCGGGTTCGCGGTTGCTATGCGTGCGATGTGATGAATATAGATTGATTGCGTAAGAAGAGAGATATTTTACCTCGACATCTTCTGGTTCTGCCCGAGGTCTCATCTGAGACCGTAAAAATAGGCGATGTTGGAATTACATGAGCTAACGACTTACTGTTATTCATTTGATATTTTAAAACTGTCGAAATACCGTCCTAAAAATTTCGATAGTCGGGAATCCATGTCTAAGACCAACTGTACCCGATTATCGCGGCCTGAATATTCCCAGCAGTGTAAAGGAGGGGGGAAAACTCTTACGTTGCTCATCGAGTCTTGATAGTCAAATTCGACTCTTACACACACCGATGTAACCTTGTCATCAATAGTGGTGTGAACTATATAAAAGTTGCGCCCGAAGTTCCCGGCGTAAATCAAACCGACAGCAGACCAGATCGGAAGAGAGCAGCTTTTTTTAATTATACAAATCCTTTGTTAAGCGCGGAAGCCCATGTTGCCACACTTCGACTTCACCTAATCACCCGAAGTTATCCTATAGTTAAAACATTATCCTATAACTAGGAATTAAAGGGGTAACTAGGTAGATAACATTGATACCCTGAACTTGTATTTAATACTCTTTATCTATCGGCATTGGAGCTATTCAAATTTATATACGTCCATCTCTATATTCTGTGTTGACCCGAAAAAAGAAACCGTCCTAGTCCTTGGCGGTAAGGAACTTCTCTAGATCCTCAAACTCCCCACTATGCTTCATCATATCGTAAAATTGTCCCTTGGCCTCATAGAGCTCTTTTGGGCTTCCGACCCTGAATAATTGGTTAGTCGATATTCTAATATCATTTTGAAGTGGGAACACGTACTCTACGGCTGTGCCGGCACTCATAACTACCACGCGATCGTAGTCAATGATTGTCTTCAGGCGATGTGCGATGGTGACTAGCGTCCTATCCCTCCCGTGCTCATTCAGTTCTTTCCTTAGGACTTCTTGGATCCCTTGATCGGTCTCGTAGTCCATCTGTGGGAGGAATATCAGTTAATGCAAGCAGTCAAGGTAAGAGTGAAAAGGGGCAAACCAAAAACACATACGCTTGCAGTCGCCTCATCTAATAGCAGCAACTTGCTTTTGCGTACCAAAGCCCTACAGAGCGAGAGTACCTGTCGTTGGCCGTGAGAGAAATTCTCTCCTTTAGGCTTCACTGGTGTCGAAAGAGTGATTCCTATATCACTCGGCACGTCGTCGGAGTAGGCACCGTTTAGCCCGTTAGAACGACCATTGCCGTTTTGTGCTTGTTCTCCGTTCTGATGGAACTGGAAAGAAGCGATCCCGCTACAGTACTGGAGGGCTTTCTCCAGCGTCTCTGGGGGAATCTTTCCTGTTGGGTTTAGATTGGATCGCACGTCTCCGTTAAACAGGACTGCTTCTTGAGGGATAATCGTAAGTGCTTCTCGGAGCTTCCTGCGTGGAAACTTGGTGATATCCACACCGTCGAAGAGTATTTGCCCCGAAACAATATTCGTGAAACGCAGCAAAGATAAAACCAACTACAAGCAAATCCTAAGTTAATACGCCACCATTTAGATTCTGGGTGTCAGACTTACGGTGCTCTTTCCAGACCCAGTACGTCCGACGACGGCAACTCTCTCGCCGGCGGCAAATTTGAGGTTAATGTTCTTCAAGATTTCCGGCCCATCTACATCGTATTTGATAGTTACATTACGGAACTCGACCTGTCCGCTTGTCGGCCAGTTCTCAGGCAAGACGGATTCGGGATTGTCAGAGTGTTCGCCAACGCTTTTGTACTCATCCGGGTTCTCCTCGGGTTTGACAGCAGCATATTCTCGAACCCGATGGAACTATAACTGTATTAGTATATGTCCATCAAGACATCCTCTGAGCTTAACTTACACTCTGTAACTCGATTTCCAGCTCATTACTTGACCTCACAAGGAATATGATAAGCTGGCTGAGCGTCTAGTTTCTGCGTTAGCAAATCAAGTCCGATAAACCTCAAATCCAAGAACTATCTTACCGTCGCGTTTGTTAACGAAAACCCGACAAGTCCAGCTGCTACAAGACCTGCTTGGGATACAGCAATAGCACCCGCGGCGACTGTGACCAGGGTGGTAGCCATATCGACCTTAAGCGCCACCCATCGGTTACAATTGTACTGGGCTTCGCAGGCCTTCTCGAACACCCGTAACTTGTCTGCTAGTTGATCACCGAAGATTTGGGGCATATTTACGCGAGCGCGGATCACGGCGAGACCAGCTAGACTATCAGCAAACTGAGCGAACAGAGGCGACTGTGAAGATGCTACCAGCCGCTTGATCGCTACAGAAGTTCTCGTGTACATTTCTCCCGCGGCAATCCCAACGGCGCAACAGGCGGCGGCGGGTAACATGAAGATGGGAAGCACGGAACCGACGGCTGCAATTTGGAACCCGAGCCGTGTGACCATCTCGACACATAGTCGGAGCACTATATTCAGAATAATTAGCTTTCGAAGGAGAGATTGCTACCACAGTAGTATCTTGTATAGTTTACGGGATACTAGCGTGTTTGCCTATGCAATCCTAGTGTTGTGATAACGGGCCGAGAGGTAAATAGGGGCTGACGAAGATTGACTTACTACCAGCCAACGTTGTATCGATGGAGTCCATGTCCCGCGAGAACCGGTTGACAACTCGACCAACAGGCGTTGCCTTGTACCAGGAGAGGGGAACACTCATCACAGCTTTTATAAATGTAGAGTGTAGTGACCGCGCAGCATACCAACCGCCGTTCTCATATGCGATGTAGGTTAACCCATTGAAAATGACGTCTGCAAGACTCCATAACGCATATATTCCAAGGTAGAATCCAATATCGTATGCGTCATCTCTCCCGTACGCGTCAACCCAGACTGCAATCCACAGTCCCGTTCCCACAAACGTGGCAGTAGAAAGGGTACTCATTATGATGGCAAGTATAGCATAAAAAGGGTTTCCAAAGAGCCGCATATATTGGAAGACTTGAAGGATATGCTCATTAGTTCGTTTTCATCGCTGGAGGAATATAGACAGTCGATGGCAATACTCACATTGTAGACGAGCTGTCTGTCCAGTCTTCAAAGCCTCCTGCGTTACTTCATCCCGGTTTCTATCTTGAGAGCTCTTTATGTCGCCATTAGGCTTCTTTCCATTAGTAGTTGCGCCGTTGCCCTCGGCAACGTTAGAAGCAGCCGTTTCCGCGGTCACGTCAACATTGCCATCATCGAGAGCCGTTGAATTTAGTGTCACGGATTTCCGAACGACGCCGAGATTCTGTTCAATATTCTTGACCAAGCCATTTTCTAGAGTTATTGAGAGGTCCGCCTGAGGCGTGATCCATGGCATTTGGGTAACAAGTACAGTAGTTCTCCCTTTGACTGCGATTTCGATAGTTAGAGGAGCTCAAACTAGAATGGATTTTTGGGATTTTATAATATGCTGACAACACCCGAACATTTTTGGTAATGGCCCGTATCTGGAAACGGGACTAAAGGGGATGGGACTGAAGAGGATCCTATACAAGTCTAAAATGTACTTACGTAGATCTCCGCAAAACGCTTCCTCCCACAACAACGCCGACGTCTTAGAATCCAAAGCAGAAAATACGTCATCTAGTAGGATTACGGAGGCCTTCGAGTAAAGTGCTCGTGCGAGAGCAACTCGGGACTTTTGACCTCCGGATAGAGAGGCCCCGTTCTCGCCGACTTCAGTACCGTCTCGTTCCGGGAACTCGTTAAAGTCGATCGGAAGGCCACAGGCGTTTATCACCCGGTCATATCGTACCTGTTCGAAGGGGCTGTTGAAGAGAATGTTCTCGCGAATCGTCTCGTTTTGCAACCAAGGACTCTGAGACGCGTAGGCGATATCCTTAGGGCATGTGATTTCACCGCTCTCAAGAATGGTCTCGCCCAGGATCGACATGAGGAGTGTTGACTTCCCACTTCCGCTCGGGCCCGTTACTACATTTAACCCACCTTCGACGAAATCGATCGAGATATCTTTCAAGGCAAACGATGCGTTCTTATTGCGCCTGAAAGTAGCATTACTGATATGAAGTGGGCCGACTGGATGATAACGCAAGGGTGTGGTGTTATTGAAGTAACGGTCTAGACGTTTGATAGAGACACTCGCAGCGGTGATGCCTCGTGACATTTGAGATGCCTGCGACAGGTTTCGGCGCAGCGTCCGGACCAATGTTATTGCTGTGAAGGCGACATCTGCCGTCAGGGGCTCTTTGCGTGCTAGTACCTGCAAGGCAAATATGAGAACCAGTGACAGGTTGGGGATAGCTTCAGTAAGCTGATTTAGGGCGATATAACTAACATCCGAACGTCAGTACGCCTTAAAGTAGTATCGGGAGAGGCCCGACTTACAGGATATTTAGGGACCATATCTTCTTTTGTTCACCGAGCCTAATCTCGTTGACTCGGTTGATAATAGCGTCTTCCCAAGAGAAATACTTAATCGCTCTAATTGAGGCAAGGTACTCTGAAATGGCTGAAATTCTCGAGTCTTGTATTCTCTTCATGTCATGTTGGATACCTACCATACGCCGACCGATCAGAATCGGAAACGGTGAAAGAAGTATCATTACAACAATGCCAACGAGGGCTGACCAGTCTAACAATTTATACAGACCCCAGAGAGCTACGATTGATCCAACCGATACTCCGCAGGCTACGAGGACGATGTCTCGAGCTCTTATAATGGATTCTATATCAGCACCCATGAGGTTTGCCAAACGTCCTGTCGAAGTAGTACCCTGCTTAATTGTTTCACCTTTGCCCACGGTAGCAATCTCAGCGAACACATCGTCGTCTAATTCCATCGAGTCCATTGCTTTATAGTATAACTCTTGCGTCAATGCAGTTCTGACACGTACAACTAAACGAGTTGAAGTGAATATGTATTGTTGATAGCACACAGAACGCGACAATGGACCGATAAATAGGAGTATCAGCCAAACCCAGGGTCGAAATGGAGACTTCTCGGGGTTAGTTAGGAAGCCAAGCAGTTTATACATAGCGTACGGTGCTATTAGTTCGAAGAGGAAAGCGAAGGCAACCCAGGTGCTCATAGCAGCAATTTCCTTAGGTAGGAAGTATGCCAGCGTCCAGAGCGTGGACTTGCCTTTCCGGCGTGCCTCCTTAATCCTAGAAAGGAGAAGCTCCGGGTCGTCATACCACGGGAGTGCAGGAAGCTCATCTAGAGTCACCTGTCGACGCAAACCCCTGATCATTAGAGGCGTAAGCCATTCGTACGTTACGAAGTACTCCAACCAACTGCAGGTCTCTTCGGGAGAGGGTTCTTTAATTGGTATTTCCTCGTAGAAATCGAGACTCAACGATGGCGGTATCCATTCTCTTGGTGTAACAAGAGCTACCAAAACAGCAGCAGTCAAAGTTGATACACTACAGATTACTATTGGACTCATGCTCCTAGAGAAATCCGTATCGATATACGGAAGAAGTTCCTCTACAGCAAGGATGAATAGAGACCCAGTAAGGACGGTATTAACGTGATGGAGGGCAACATGTCTCCACTCTAAATCATTGATCAGTCGCAAGATTCCAAGAATGAAGGCATAGGCCAAGGCGGTAACATCAGCCCACCGGCCTGCATTCTGGGTAGCAGCAACAATCGCAAAGGCCAAAGAAGCAGCCCGAAAGATCTGGCCGGATAACTCAAACGGTAATGATATTCCTTGGATATTCCCTTCAGGTTTAGAAACCTTAGAGTAGGGGCGGTGAAGTAAATATCTGATAATGATAAAGAAGGACGCAACCGTGATAGTAAGTTGTAGGTAGCCAGCTTTGGCAAAATCAGAAAAGCTGTGAACCCATTGAAGGTTCGAAATACTAGAGGGGTCAGTTATTAGAGTCCTATCCTCCTACTTATCCGGGGAGAACCTTACGTACGTATTCTTTTCATAGGCGCTCTTCGAAGTAAAGAGAGATTGGGAGCGGAAAGGAACCGCATCCCAACCATAGTCTCTGAAGATGACTTGATCCATCGCTCTTCATGGTAGAGACTCAAGCTCCAACATCTAGATATGATGAACCGCGAGAAATACTCAATTAATCAACACAGACGTCGAGAAGAGTCAACCTGTTATTCGGGTAATTAATACTCGGTACAATACCAACCTATCTGGGTAGGTAGATTGCGTGCTCGGCGATAACTACAGCTACCTGGGATAAGCTCGCAGCCTAATTCAGAAAGGACCCCTGCCAAGAGGGGACAATTTAATCTTAATTGCCTGAAGCTATTCTGACCGGACTACGAATCCTATGTTACGGGCTTCGATATACTCAACAAAGCAGATCTACACGGGTATACCGGTGCCTACGCCTACCTCAGCTATTCGATACCTACATCCAAAGTGGGTTGAAGTTCTTTCACCGACTGAGTCACATGTCTTAATCCGGGTAGGTAACGTCCAAAGATGCATGTGTATAACGCAGCATAGTGGAGCGTAAGCAGGATCACCTCATTCGGATGCACCATGAGCTCTTCTTACTAGCCAGGGTAACGATAAGATATAATTTGATGAGCGATGAGAGAGGTACACCGACGAGTAAGAAGACGGCAACGGTCAGCAACTGGCTTATAGGTATAAGCGATGCTGAGCATGAGACTTGGAAGAATTTGGCTTGCGGTAGCGCAAGCAGTCAATCAGATACATAGTCTCCGAACTAAATATATTTCCTCATTAGGTATAACTACTAGGTTAGTAGTAGTATTCATAGATCGCTGACTTTGTTAATATTCTTTACATTGGGTACCTTAGATACCTAACCTAGGCATATTTCGATTAGGAGTCGTGATTGTAGTTGTAAGAATGTGGAGTCTACGAAAAAGACCAGAAATCTCAAGATAGAAAATACAGTGCGCTACCACACTCTTTACTTGTACTTCGTACGTACCTAGGTACCTAGGTATCTTCTAATGTAGAATTAGGTAATCAGATTAAGCTTTCCCAGGGCTGGGTACCTAGGTACTTATGTAAGTAAGTACAGCGGGGTCCGAATCAGCCACGAACAGGCAAGGCGTGGCGCGTATTTCGACTTAATTCGAGCTTGTTGCCTTCGTGTAACTCTTTGCCTTCCGAATATAATATTGACAAAGCGGCAGAACGCGACGACAATATACCTACATGTAATATACGAGTGACTCACCACCGGAATCATTATAACGATATGAAATGCGAATAATATACTGAATTGTCGCTCGTTTCTACCTCTCGAGGCCTGCGCCAACGTTTATCCACGACGCTCCCCAACACAACAATATCCCATTCTTCCTGGTAGTATCGACATCATGGATGACGACTTCGCCGAGCTCGAGCTTCTGTCGCTCGTATCAAAGGTCACCTCTGAGCTTCAGAATCACTTGGGCATTTCCGAAAAGACTCTGGCCGAATTTATCATTGCTAAGCGACTAGAATGCAGCGGTTTCTCCGAGTTCAAGAGCGAGTTGGCCAAAATGGGCGGCGCAACTTGGCCTGCCAGTTTATTCGAAAGTGTCGATCGTCTGGTTCGAACTATGCATCCTAAATTCAGGGCCGAGAAGGAAGTAGCAGAAGAAGACCATCAGCCAGTTCGGACCTTCGAGGAGAAAGAGACACTTTTCAAGGGCCTTAGCATTCCTGACAAGGAAGTTAAGGCCGGAAATGGGGACGATATCGATGAGACGTTAGCGCTATTGGAAGGATTGGAAGGTAAAGCTAGAGGCACGCGTTCAGAAAGAACATCGAGAAAACGGTCACGTAGCCCCGAGAGGGAAGACGGCACGGACTCGGGACATAAGAGGAAAGAGAGATACCGTTCTAGGGATCGGAAGGATCGTAGGGATCGAGGTCATGACGATGATAATGATTATAAAAATAGCTTTAGAGAACGAGGAAGCCGAAGAGATGAGCGCGACGAACGTCGATCACACCGCAACGGTGACAAAGAAAGGAGACGGAAATATGACGACGAGGACGACGACGATCGTAGACTCAAGTACGCCCCCGAACCCGAAGTCGACGATTCACCTGTATTATACAAAGTATACGATGGTCATGTCACTGGTCTCAAGGATTTCGGCGCGTTCGTCAATTTACATGGTGTGAAGGGCAAAGTAGATGGAATGGTACATATTTCAAATCTAGTGCAAGGCCAAAGAGTCAACCACCCTTCGGATCTCCTGACAAGGGGTCAGGATGTCAAGGTCAAAGTTGTCAAGATCGAGGCGAACCGAATAGGACTATCTATGAAGGACGTCGACCAAGAGACAGGTATGGACCTTGCACCTCAAGCCCGAATACAGTCGGGCGCCAATATGGAGAGTCTTGGTAGTCGGAACGGTGTAGCCCCTCGCAACGACGATAATTTGGCAGCTCTTTCTAATTACACTGGCCCTCCGAGGTCGCATAAAAAGAGGATGACCTCGCCAGAGCGGTGGGAGATACGGCAACTTATCGCATCTGGCGTGGCCAAAGCTTCGGATTATCCTGATTTAGAAGAGGACTACAATGCTACCTTGAGAGGAGAAGGCGAGATGGAACTAGAAGAGGAAGTCGATATCGAAGTGAGGGAGGAGGAACCCCCCTTCCTCACGGGGCAAACAAAGCAGTCGCTTGAATTATCGCCGATTAGGGTTGTGAAGGCGCCAGATGGTTCACTGAACCGTGCAGCAATGTCAGGTACGGCGCTAGCGAAGGAGCGGAAAGAACTACGGCAACAAGAAGTGGAAGCTGCGCAGGATGAGTCAAAGGTTGACCTTGCATCTCAATGGCAAGACCCAATGGCAAACCCCGACAATAGAAAATTTGCTAGCGATTTGCGCACTACAAAAACAATCGCCCCAAAACCTGACGCCGTACCTGAATGGAAGAAAGCTGTCGCGCCTAAAGATCAATCATTTGGTAGACGAACAACCATGTCTATCAAGCAGCAGAGGGAAAGCCTTCCCGTTTTCGCTTTCCGAAATCAGCTTATCAAAGCTGTGCACGAGAATCAAATCCTGATTGTCGTAGGTGAGACTGGATCCGGCAAAACCACTCAACTCACTCAGTACCTTGCTGAGGCTGGCTTCACCAATCATGGCATGATAGGTTGCACACAACCTCGTCGCGTCGCAGCCATGTCTGTAGCAAAGCGTGTCGCGGAAGAAGTTGGCTGTCAGCTGGGTCAAGAGGTTGGTTATACCATCCGTTTCGAGGATTGCACGAGCCCGGCAACCAAAATCAAGTACATGACAGATGGTATGCTGGAGCGCGAGATCCTGCTTGATCCCGATCTAAAGCGATATTCGGTTATCATGCTGGATGAGGCCCACGAGCGAACCATCGCAACTGATGTTCTTTTCGCACTTCTCAAGAAGACCGTCAAGCGTCGAAGCGACTTGAAGATCATTGTCACATCAGCTACTCTGGACGCTGACAAATTCTCGGCCTACTTCAACGAGTGCCCCATCTTCACCATTCCCGGTCGCACGTTCCCTGTGGAGATCTTATATAGCAGAGAACCCGAGTCGGACTACCTCGATGCAGCTCTGGTGACGGTCATGCAAATCCACCTTACGGAACCCCCTGGAGACATTTTGGTTTTCCTTACGGGCTCGGAGGAAATCGACACCGCGGCAGAAATTCTGTACGAACGAATGAAGGCGCTTGGCCCGGGTGTCCCTGAGCTGATTATTCTTCCTGTATACTCAGCACTCCCCAGCGAGATGCAGAGCAGGATTTTTGACCCTGCGCCTCCTGGCTGTAGAAAGGTTGTGATAGCTACCAATATCGCCGAGACCTCTATCACAATTGATCACATCTACTACGTGGTGGATCCCGGTTTCGTCAAGCAGAATGCTTACGATCCAAAGCTTGGCATGGATTCTTTGGTTGTCACGCCTATCTCGCAAGCTCAAGCTAACCAACGCGCCGGCCGTGCCGGACGAACCGGTCCTGGCAAATGCTTCAGATTGTATACCGAGGCCGCTTATCAGTCTGAAATGCTTCCGACCACCATTCCGGAGATCCAGCGCCAGAATCTAGCGAATACAATTCTTATGCTCAAGGCCATGGGTATCAACGATCTCCTCCACTTCGACTTCATGGACCCGCCACCTACAAACACCATGTTGACTGCCCTGGAAGAATTGTATGCCCTGTCAGCATTGGACGACGAAGGCCTTCTAACTCGTCTTGGCCGTAAGATGGCTGATTTCCCCATGGAACCTGCCTTAGCTAAAGTCCTGATCGCCGCTGTTGATATGAGCTGTTCCGACGAGATGCTTAGCATCGTAGCCATGTTGAACCTTAACGTGTTTTACCGACCGAAGGAAAAGCAAGGCCAAGCCGATCAAAAAAAGGCCAAGTTCCACGATCCGTCCGGCGATCATCTTACCCTTCTCAACGTCTACAACGCCTGGAAGCAGAGCGGCTTTTCGGCTCCGTGGTGCTTTGAGAACTTCATCCAAGCACGTTCAATGAAGCGAGCGAAAGATGTCCGCGAGCAGATAGCGAAAATTATGCAGCGCTATCGACATCCCATCGCTTCCTGCGGCCAAGATACGCAGAAGGTCAGACAAGCTCTCTGCGCCGGCTTCTTCCGCAACTCAGCAAGAAAAGACCCGCAGGAAGGCTACAAGACTTTGGTCGAGGGTACACCAGTCTACCTACATCCAAGCTCAGCACTGTTCGGAAAACAGGCAGAGTGGGTGATCTACCACACGCTGGTTCTCACTACGAAGGAGTACATGCATTACACCACCAGCATCGAACCAAAGTGGCTTGTCCAAGCTGCACCTACTTTCTTCAAGGTTGCGGCTACGGATAAGCTCAGCAAGCGAAAGAAAGCTGAGAGGATCCAGCCGCTGTACAACAAGTATGCGGCGGAAGACGACTGGAGACTCAGCGCCCAGCGAAAGGTTGGACGGTCTGGCGGAGGAGGTGGTACCTGGGGTTAATAGTGTTGGCATTCTGCGTATAGGTAGCTACCCTCATTGAAGATGATCTAAAGGCGGATCAAACGGTAGACCTACAGTGTGTCCCCCATAGTCCCATAGTCCCATAGTTCCATAGTTCCATAGCCCTTCTTGCCAGCAGCTCTGGAAAGTTGATGTTTAGCATAAGGGAGTTCGGGGTATTGCGTACCGCGACCTTCACCGCGCGTAAGTTTAAGCAATGGGAATTTATATTAAATCCTTGTGTTTCCGTTCCACGGACTATTCTGCAGTGTTCCCACCTCCCGTCTTTTAAACCACAGTTTCTATTAATAACCTAATTCCCTGATACTGTTCGGATGTTGGGGGTCCTACAGGCGCCCTTGCGTAGCACAAACTACGTACAGCTCAGGAGAGGCTGACGT